TTATTTTTCCAATCTACAATACGATTTGATAACATGCCATTCAATGTAAATTTTTTTCGAATACTTGAGTCATACTTTTCTACTAAGTTTTATCACGTTTAAAAAAAAAGTTTTGGGCAACGTCTTCGCCACTGACAGTTACAGTGCATGTAAGCCAAGATGCAGAGGGTTGAGCTACCGTAATATGGGATAATTCGTTCTTTGCAACTGGTCGAATGCCATTTGTTGTTCCGAATGCGGTGTCATGGTTACAAATGGAATGGGCCCTGAGCAAGCGATTTGAATATCAAACCGGCTGCACATTGACCGGAGAACACTTGCGATACTTTTGTAAATATCACAATAGTCGCTTCTTGAACAATTCTGATTTTCGAAAATAAAATTGATTGGATAACAATTTATTTGCAGATGAAAAGATCTTCGGCCCTACACCAAAGCATGACCCTTTAATAACGTGGAAACAATTTTGCAAGGATCCGTTGCCTGGCCAAAAATTCCCATTTTACCATTGGTTTCACGATACAACGAAACTAACGCGATCGCATCTCAGCAAAGAATGGAACAAAGGGCTCATTCATGGTTTCATTAGAAAAGATAAAGCCGAAGAAATGCTTCGCACGTGTCCAGCAGGTACATTTTTGCTACGATTCTCCGACAGTCAACTTGGTAATGAATTCGATTTTGACCATTTTTTTTTTATTCAGTACAACAAATGACGTATTTTTTCAGGTGGTATATCAGTTGCTGTGGTAAATGAAAATGACGATGGTTCCCTAACTCTTGTACATTTACAACCATTTCTCATTAGTGATTTCGAAATCGCCAAATCTCACTCGATTAGCGATTTAATTAGATATATCAGGAAATGTACTCATCTCTATCCCGATAAACCAAAGGACAGAAATTTCGAGGAATTTTACACATCAGTTAACAAAGAACGTATTAAAGGATACGTTAGAAGAAATTATAACTTTTAAGAGTTTTCAAAAGACGTTTTTTTTGCGCGAGTTAATTTCACTGTTGTTGACGATTCGAATGCGTAGCAGAATCGGTCACTTGATAAACATATTGAAATATAAACATAATTGGTACGACGATAAACACATGAATCATGAATGACAATAAGTTCGGCAATGCATTTGAGTCATTAGTATATGACTAATGCGCAACGTACAGCAAATTCCATACAAACAGTAAGCATTCGGAATCATTCTAGTATCGAACAATAATATAAATATTTTTCAGTTTCATTTTTGCTGACCTAAGCATTTCCAAAAACTATATATAGGGCAAATGAGCCATAGCATTTAGTTTTTACGTGGTATCAGTCTGTACACGACCTATCAGCTGTTACTCAATAAAGTTGAAATATACTTAAAACTCACTGCGTTTTAATTTTTGGTAACAAAGAGAATTTTAACTCGCGCATAGTTGATTTTTTTTAAATTAATTCCAATGCTTCAACATCTATTTAATTCTTCTTTTAATTTTTCGCGTGATCATTACACATACACACACACACACACTGAATCCGTGAAGTGTCAGATACTCTATAGTTGCGACAAATGTAGTGGTATTCATTTTGTGTCTGTGATGTTATGAGCATTGAGCAAATCCACTACATTCGACAATAAAATAGCGTTACGATGACAACGTACATTTGGAAACAAGCTGTTTTGAAACAAAACAATCTCATGTCAGCAATACTTCCAAAACAATAGAATATAGAAATGAATTATTCCTTCTGTTTTTTTCTTTTCTCGTATAGAATTCCAAAACGATTTAATCGATCCTGTATCAAAGATTGAAATAAACTAAAATTATTTTTTATTAAATTAAAATGTGAGAAACGTCTCGTTTTGTTTAGGACTTATCTCGTTTTTATATTTTGAATAAACTAAAGATTGCGATTTGATTCCGATGAAATTTACCCGCGTTTTTTTAAATTTTATTTTTGTCTGGTTGATTTCTCAAAACAACAGAAGTAAGTGTTCCAACGAATCTTTGCCTAAAACTATCATTCGAAATGTCGAAATCAATGAAGCGAAACATTTTAATATGACAACGACATGAATTTTTTATCAGCATCATTCAGTAGGCTTCTTAGCATCGACAGGATAAAATGCATTTTTATTTCAAAATAATTCGGCTTGAATTGCTGATCCAGTAAAATAAATCAATTGAATCGAAAACTAATTTCATTAAGTAATTTCCAATTATTCCTATGAAAAACAATGAAAATTTTCAATTTCATGGACAGTTTTCGGAAACTGTAAGTATTTTTATCATAATGATTGTAAAACAAATGATTTTAGAGTGGTCATGGTCAACTCAATCATGGACAAACAAGTCGGCAATTTATCTAAGCATTGCTGGAGGTCAAAGCTGAAACGGTGACACTGCAAATTCTGCTGAAATTGTAATGGAATCCTCAATGGCAAAAATAAGTCGCAAACTATGTAAATACAGTATCAATATTTGTCTCACGAGTTTATAACTTTGCGTTTGCATGCAAATAGTATGCATCTATGCAAACTGACAAAAGACCACTCCGATACGATTAAGGTTCAAGAAAATTCAGACAAGATGAAGTATTTCTTCATTACGCCATTTCACATCGATTTTCGTACAACAAACGTTCAACTGTACGGTTCGCTATGGTATTTTTTTCGGAGCAAATAGAAAAGGAAGCACATGAAGTAAATTTCAAGAGAAGTTGTTGCTATCTGTTTACGAGCACCGACAATCCTATTGGATCGGTTTTAAGTGATCACACTAAAGCTTATCACACCGGTGACCAGCCAAACCAATGTGTGAGCTATGTTCAAAAAAAAAATTTGTACATAAAGGTCATCGATGGGTAATTTCAAACTGACGCGCACGATTCAAAGCCTGAACTTTTTTCGAAACAGTTGCATGCATATTGAACAAATAAAAATAACATGATAAAGAATGAACATTGACGTTGTTCCAGAAATCCAAGAAATTCGAACGAAATAAATTGAACAAGTTTGTGGTTATCACGTGCACATGTTTTTATTTGTTACTTATTTTTCATCCGAAACAGGGAATATTCATGCACGAATATGTACCGATGCGATCTCATCGAATAGACGCGGTTCTACAGAAAAATTCGTTGAAAAAATAAAAAGGAAGATACAAAAATGCCCCACTCTAATACATTTGTAAATTTGACACAACAAACGCTTCGCTACATCGTGCTACATGTGTACATGTTTCTGTATCTTTGTATGCGGTGGTAGTATCAAGTTGACATTGTCAACATAATGTCGGAGTTGATGCAACCAACTTCAAAGCGGGGCACAGTTACACATTGTTTTGTGTTTGGCTCTTTCTTGCTACCATTCGTAAAGAATGATTTCGGCAAAAGCGCTTTAATTCTCATCTCTCACTGATATTACTTTAATTCATCTTGTTGAAATTAGTTCCATTTAAAATATTGCCTGGGGTCAACAAAAAAACGTACGAACAACCGACTTGAGAGCGAAAAAATGATGCTAGGAAACAGCGGTGATAAGAGTTTTCGGTAACGAAACAAACATCATTCTATCAAAGTGTGACTTGTTTGTGTATATTTTTATCAGCACGAAATACGGAATAATACTAACGGATAGCCAAGCATAATAATGGAAATTTACATGAAACCGTTGCCACATATATATCAACTTCCCATACAACACTTCCCGCATTAATATTATTTATCTTTTTTCCGACGAATTGGTCTGTGCATTCTAAGAGAATCCTTCGAATCACGCGCTTCTTTAAAGTAGAAATTTTATTCGACATTAATGATTTTATTTTGTACCCATTTTACATTTCTTGAGAAACGAAAAAGGTCAATAGGGTCAACGTGTTATCATCATTATCTGTGTTTTTGACATCATTACGAGTGAAAAATAAGTAAATTTTTACATTTAAAGCAAATATAAATTGAATTTCTTGAGAAACATCAGTAACAAACAAAGTATCAGTTCGAAATTTTACTTGTAACTTGATCGTCCAATAATTTTTTGGTCCGCTGTAAAAAAAAAATATAGAATCAAGTGTACAATAACCGTATTGTGTTCATAAATAATTATAGCAACATAGAAATAATTCATTCATTTTTCCGTAGAATTCCTTTTTTATGTGGATTTAAATAATGAAAATTGAATAAAATGGTGTCACGAACAAACGATATGATGGGTTTTTATGAGCAGAAATTCAACGATAACATTCACGAATTGCGTTGTCTAATTGAAGAAGACATAGAGGCGATAAAGGAATATATAATTGATTTTGAAAGTAGTATTCAACATCGTAGCGATCCTGCGCACAACATACACAGATTGAATGGTGAAATCGGAAGTCAACTACTGTCTTGTATGGGTGATACTAATCAGATATGGTTGCGGAATTATAAAAAATATAGTCAAATCGTGTGCTCCATTCAAATCATCATCAAATTGTTAAACGATACACTACAAATTCTCATTGAAAATTGTTTGGGAAATTGGAAACGCGATCAGATTGTGGCTGGATTTGGCGATGGAAACATAAAAGTGCCATCTAATTTGCACGACAGGAATGCACAGCTGAAAAGTGCACTTGATGATATACAGCAAAAATTCGAAGTGTTATTTGAATATGCTTTGCATACACGCGCATTGTTGAATGACATTCACCATTGTCATAGTCAATTGCACTATGTTGACACTCTTGCAATGGAAGCATCTCAAGAGACTACCGCCATTCTACACAATTTGATACAGTCGAGCTTTATCATTGACGAACAACCGCCGCAAGTCATTAACAAGGATAAAAAGTGAATATGAATTTTCTTTTTTCAATGCAGAACCGTTTTCATCGGCGCTTTAATTGAAATCTTTTAACAATGGAATCTTTGGACACTCATATGGTTGCTTCAATACGAGTTATCATTATTAAAGAGTTTCACTTTTATTTTAGACATTTTTTTCAGAGCGTGTTATGAGCTGACGTCAGCAGCACTAACTAACTTCAGCTGCT